TCAGCTGGGAGAAGTGTACAGGTCACAAGGGCAACACCTGTGAGTAAGGGTCGTCCAATGTCTGCTGATGATATCCAAAAAGCAAAAATGCGGGCACAATTTATGCAGAGCAAATATGGGAAATCTGGTTCATCTAATGAAAATAAAGAACTGAAGACCGAAGGTGGGAACAAACTTTCAACCTCTCAGGCCAGCATTTTGCCTGTGGTACCTAAAGTTCCAGTTCGGCTTGATATTGAGGAACCCAAGAAACCTGTGACACTTCTTTTGAAAGAGAGGGAAACTCCTAATAGGTTGGAAACTTCTCTTGCTCCAAAGCTGAGAATGGATTTGAAGGAGTCCATATTGGAGAAGTGCCAGAGAATCCGGGTCCCGTGGAAGACACCGCCAGGTACATATGCTTTTATGGAACTTTGCTGCTTCCTTTGACTATTTGTTCATAATATTAGTGTGAAAGCAGCAGGCATTATAGAAGGGAAAAAAATATATATAAAGAGATCCTCCTAAGTTGTTTAGAGTTTTGGGGAGAAAGTGCCTTCAGTATTTCCAACATATTTCGTAGAGGGAGAGTTTTTTGCTTGTGTTAATAGCTTCTAAATGATGAATAATTTCCTTTTCCAACTATCTATGTTTGCTCACTGATATGAATAGAATGGGATAACCCTCAAGTATGCTTTTCCATGGAAAACCGGGGTAGTAGTTCAGTTGTATAAGTTAGCAGGTGAAAGCTTCTGGAAATTATTTCCTCCTCATCCTTTTTCTTTATTTTTTCATTAAAAAAATATAATTAGTTACTATTAAGTATGAATTCTTGATCCTGCACAGCTATGGGTTTTGTTTACTCTTTTGTACTGATGGTCTGTTAAGCCATCATATATAGGAAATCTGTGGATTACGTCATCATAATATTTAGGCCTCAAATGACTTCCATGGCAAATTGAATCTTAAATGGTATTTCATTTCTGTATTGTAGATTTTATAAAATCAATGTGTCATAATGTCTACCAGGGTTGCAAAAAAAAAAAAAAAAAAAAAACCCAATCTTATAGCAGTTGATGTGGCTCTTAAAATCCCTTAGATGCTTGGACTTGGTCTGGTTATTATTCATATTTTGCATTTTGGTTGGGAATGTGACAGTACAGGCATCAGTATTATACGGTAGATTATACGTGCTGCATAGAGCAAAAGATTGGAGGATGTCATTTCTTCCATGTGACAATTGCTGGGTGTTTGAAAGATGGTGCCTGATTGGGTGTTGCATGCCTGATCAAAATGGGATTATTCAGTTTGGTTTTCTAAGCATATTAATGGCTTTGTTTGTTTGTTTGTTTTTTTTTTACAGAAATAAATCACACCTAATTACCAATCCTTACTTTCCCTTCTATTCAATCACCATTGTGGGTTGCGATACTTCCGAGGGCTGTTTTACAACACACATCATTAAAAAAATGTGCTACAAGATTTATTTGATTTGGTCACTCGTTATTTGATTTTGTTGTTCATGTGGTGTTTCATTGCCCTGGATTGCTTTCATCTTGTGACTTACAAATTTAAATTCAGTTTTATTTCTTAGAAGAAAAAAAACTTTAAATAGTCTGGTTTTAGTAAGATTTGGACACTCTTTGAGGTCCACATGGGTTTTTACCTCTACGGAGTCAAATCCTAGATTATTACTATGGTGGGTTGAATGTGAATGATTTCCAATCTACATGTTTGCTCTAATTTAATTGGGAAATTCTTCCAAGCAGGCTTAAGTGAATGGAAATATCCTCGGTGTTAAATTTATAAGCATGAAATAATGAATAAGGGGTTGTTGCTAATGGCTAGTCTGAACTTGAACCCGCTCAAGTCTCTAACTGATTACTCTCCGATACCCGTCTCGGTCGAACTTGGTATAGGACTTTACTATGCAAAGGTCGTATTGAAACTCTGGTAACAGGCCTCATGTTCTGTATCTCGAGAAGGACTTTTTATTCCCAGGGGTTGACTATATAATTTGGTAAACGTAGTAACTGGATGACACCCGGATATAAAAACCAATGAACTAGCCCTAATTATTTTCATTAAGGCATGGACAGATGACATTTTGATGCAGAAGCAGACGGTTTCTGGATAATGATGAACTCAACCATTAATTTTCGTTATGTAAAATAACATGACTTGTTATTTTCAGTACCTTGTCTCATTCTTGGCACGGTAGCTTGAAAACTTGACTACTAGATACCCCATCCATGTCTGGAGCACAAACATGACTTGTTGAATAATGAAGTACCTGTTTTTGTTTCCTTTTTCCCTGATTTACTTTGGTACTTCTTTGGTTGGTTGGCTGGCTGACGACTTTTCTAAGTGTTAAGTAACATTTTCTGCGGATGTTGACCTTTTTTTATTAAGTTTCCTGTCCTTTCCTTTCTGCAGAAATAAAACTGGACCCTGAATGGAGGGTCGGTGGTGGTGAGAACGGCAAAGAAATTGAAGTCCAGAGAAACAGAAACCGCCGCGAGAAGGAAACTATCTACCAGAGAGTCCAGGAGATACCATCTAACCCCAAGGAACCATGGGATATTGAAATGGACTATGATGATTCATTGACCCCAGATATACCAATAGAACAGCCCCCTGATGCTGACGGCACCGAAACACAAGCTTCCCTAAGTAGAGAAGGAAATAATGCACAAGCATGGGTTGCTTCTTCTCAAGGAGTAAACAGTGCTGCTTCTTTGGCACCCGCCTTGTCTCAAATGAATGGTGCAAGCGCAGCAGCCGAACCCGATCTTGAGTTGCTTGCTGTACTGCTAAAGAACCCAGAATTGGTGTTTGCCTTGACTTCTGGGCAGGCTGCTAACTTGTCAAGCGAAGATACAGTAAAACTGCTGGATATGATTAAGTCCGGGGGGGCTGGTAATTTAAATGGGTTAGGTAGAAAAATGGAGCAGAGGGTGGAAGTTTCTCTTCCATCCCCAACACCTTCGAGCAATCCTGGAACGGTGCGTTACTTGGGCTCATTTTGCAACTTTAATGTGCACTGTATACTACCCTTCTCCTTCTCTAGAACCTTGACAGCGAAGGAAATAGAACTACAAAATGAGAATTTAGGATAGAGAATCTGGTCCATTAGTGGTTTTGAACTGTAGGGCCTTCTTATCTCTTTCCATTTTCTTTTTTCTTTTGGGTTGGAGAGGGACCATCGATGAAACAAGTGGCAAATCCAGACTTCGGGTGCATGCCATTTTCCTTTATGGGTGGCTGGTAGGGACCTCTGTGCATGGGCCATGGAATCATGGCCTGGCATTGGAGCCTCATATTGATTTGATGCCAATATTCTGAATAACAGCAAAAAAGGAAAAGAAAAAAAAAAGATCCGTTGGGAAATTCAATTAATTCGATAATAAAAATACTGAAACTTTTTTAAATGTTTTCTTTTTGCTCATCAGCTACTTTTGATAATATAATTATTCACAAGATAAACTGATTGTGTTTCTCTGTTTTCCATTTTTTTTCGAATTCACAGAGTGGATGGAGAGCAGATGCTGGATGGAATGCATTTCCACAACAAATGGCGACCACCAACAAAAGCTTAGTTTCGTCAGCTGTACGTATGATTCCATCACAACGGCTATCAACTTCCCAGCCAGCGGTGCCGTCATACTCGCCAGACTACTTTCCTCCCTCTATGCAAACACCAGCAGCGTCAGAGATGGTTTTAACCATGAAGAACACACACTTGAACAACTTATCTAACTCATATAATGTAGCAGAAAGGCAGCCAAATTCGTTCCCACCTCCCTTGGTTACCACTCCGGCACGGCAGCAAAGGCAGCCGCAACCACTGCAGCAATCCCGTTTTTCGGAGCCTCGCCTCCCCACACATATGTACCCATCTAAACCACAAATGGGAAAACCAGGCCCTCCTCCTCCTTCTCCATCTGATTCATGGAGAGCCAGGCAGGATGTGCCCTCAAACTACCGTTACTTAGAGAACCAAAATCAGTATAATGCATCATATGGAGGACCTTCGCAGCAACCTCAGTTGTTGCCAGGTCCTTCTTGGGAAGGAAATGAACGCGTGGGTGGCAACCAAGACTTCGAATCATGGAGTCCGGACAATAGTCCAACTAGAAATCCTGGGTATATGTACGGAAGAGAACCCAGGATGAATACCGCACGGGATTACATGCCTGACAGGTCGAGGCAAATGAATCCTTCTGGATACGGAGGCCAAAACAGGCTTGGAAACAGGTGGCCGGACCGCGGCAGACAGTGAGAATTGTTTATATCCGGACGGGATGGCGCACTGTGGTGGAGACTGATACTAGTGGAGCTTGTAAAAGCCATTGTGACTTTGACTATAATAGTTTGGGATGCTCGTATTAACTCTTTACTGATCATTAATATGGTGAAAAGGAAAAAAAAATCCAAAGTTTTGGCAACTTATTCTTATTCTTCCACTTCTATTAAACAATATATAAAATTGGGTGGGGCCCTGGGCCCAAGACTTAAATCTATATGGCATTAGAGTTCTAGTTCAGAGATGCATAAAGTTGAAGTAATTCAATTTATAAAAGGATAAATAGATTGGCCAATTTCTTGGTAGAAAGTCTCAAAAAGGATAAATAGATTGGCTAATTTCTGGGTAGAAAATCTCAACCCAAAAAAAAAAAAAAAAAAAAAAGGTGATTAAGAAATAGATTTGTGTATTGGCTTAAGAATTACATAATTAGAATGTTCATAAAAAATAATTAAATAATAGAATAAAGCCGTTCGGCCTAAAAAAAAACTGTTGGGCCGGTCCAGAAAACAATATTCATGTCTTCCCAGTGGGCTTGGGCTTCACTCATTTCTGTTTGGTTCTTGTCAAGAGTTTGAGGGAAAAGGCCCAATCTTAGCTAAAACAATGTTGGTAGTGGTAGGCCGACTTTCGAGTATGGGCCTGATCCATTACGCCCATGAACATATAGTATGACTGCGGTAAAGCAAATTCCAAAAATAAAAAAAAGGTAAAAACCACAGAGGTAGCTCATGGCTTCACCTTCAAGTTCCAGGCTTCTAGCTCAAGCTCCGTCACGTATCAGGAAATTAGAACAAAATCAATTTTAAGGTTTGATCGACTGATTTTCTCTTTGGAGTTTCAAGTATGGGATTCAGATTTCACAATCTCAATTCCCTACATAAAAGGCTTGCTTTGCACATACACAAGCACAAGCACAAGAACCCTCCTCATCCTAATCGCGCAGTAGCCCAAGAATTCCTCACTTCCCATCTCCAAGGCCCTTCTTTCGTTCTCTCTCAAAATCCCATTTACTCAATCCCCAGAAGATGGCATTTAGGTCATTCGCACCACCACCATGATGATGAGCACCAGCACCAGCACCGTGGCTCTGGCGAAGAGGGCGAGAAGATCTTCAGGCTGGGATTGGCAGCTGATATTGGACTGGCTACTGGCAAAGCATTGACTGGTTACTTAACTGGAAGCACTGCCATCATTGCTGATGCAGCCCATTCAGTCTCCGACGTGGTAACTTTTGTTATTTTGCTCTCTTCCTGTTTGCCCATGTTGGTTTTTCATTTGTTATTTTCTAGTTTTGGGTGAATTATATATTATTGTTGTTGTCTATGCATCTAGGAGCTGAATTGTGCTAGATTGCCTCTATTACTGATTTTTTTGGTTTTTGTATCTTGTACTTCAATATCTGTTATCCTGTAGAATTTTGGGCTCAAGCATAATTTGATGTATGTAAGATATTTCTTTTATCTTATGTCAACTCTATTTTTAGATTATCATGCATACTCTGTTCGTTTTCTGCTTTTATTGTAGGTTCTTAGCAGCATCGCTTTATGGTCATTTACAGCTGCAAAGGCTCCCAAAGACAAAGAACACCCATATGGTCACTCTTGATTTGTACCTACACGCTACTCCATTGATCTCACATTATGCATATACATCCCTACTTTTGTAGTTCATTGTCGTCTGTGTGTGCTGGGTTCATATACAACTGTTTTCTTGTTTCACTTGTTTTTCCAGGACATGGTAAATTTGAGACTCTTGGAGCACTTGGAATCTCTTGTATGCTGTTGGCAACTGCTGGTGGCATTGCTTGGCATGCTTTGGATCTTTTGCTGGTAAGTGTTACTTTCTCCCTCTACCTCATTAAAGAATGGTACTCATATGTAGTTACTTTGCGGTTTCCAAATGGATTTCAAGATTGATAGTCTATTGACAATTTGATATTTGGTGGTCAGTTTGTCTCTTGATACTGGATCAGATTCTTGTTTTTGTATTTGTCCTTAGAAACCATTGTCTTCCATGTGCAGGGATTGTTTTCAGCGGATCCTGCTATAGTTAGTCAGTCATTGACTGATCATGTACATAATCATCATCATCATCATCGTGGACATCACCATGGAGTTGACATGGAGCACCCTGCTCTAGCTTTGAGCATGACTGTTTTCTCGATATTTGTTAAAGAAGGGTACCAAAGTTTATAAAATCTTAATTTTTCAAGAGTTGTCTCCTATTCCATGTCATTGAAAAGCAGATTGAATTTCCTTATCTGAACGACATAGCTATCTAGGTCATTGAATCATTGGTCCTTGTTGCTTATGTGTAAACCATCTCAACTTCATGTTTATTTCTGACTTTACCACCCCCACACCCCCA